AACCCATTGAAAGAAGTTCGACATCATTAGTCCTCAGGGAAATGCAAATGAAGATATCTCTACTCTTCTATCAAAACACCTAAAATTTACAAATAGAGTACCGAATGCTGAGGGGGATGGAAAGAGCCTGAATTTCTCATTTCTTGCTGGTGAGAATGGAAACTGGCTCAGCCACTCTGGAAACAGTTTGACAGTTTCTTGAAAAAGTAAGTATACAGCTAGCGAATGATGCTCAATTGCGTGCTGGGGAATTCATCCCAGAAAAAGGAAAATGTAGTTTTACCCAAACACCTGTATGTGAATGGTCAGGGAAGCTTTATTTTTTATTTGTGTTGTTTCGGAATCTTTATTTATAATAACCCGAACGTGGAAATGTCTGTAAGGTCATCAGTAGGTAAACAGTTACTTGGGCTGGGGTACAGAGACTGTGGCGTCAAATTCCTGCAGTGCAGCCATAGAAAGAGCCAACGCTGGATACACGCAGCACTTTGGGTAGATCTCTGGGGGTCTCCCGTGCTGAGTGACGTGATGGACTGTGTCCCTGTGTGTATAGAACATGCTCAGAATGGGGACAGTGTAGAGAAAGAAAACAGAATCATGGTTTCCAGGTGTCAGGGTGGTAGGGGATGAGGAAGGCGTGAGTGTGTGCCAGGAGGTGGGTGGGGGAACTTTGTGGCAATGGAGAAGTCCCGCATCAGGATTGCAGGGTGGGGAGTGACGTGAATCACACATGTGACAAATGACATGAGGTCCCAATGTCAGCGTCCCAGTTCTGTTGTTGCACTGTAGACTATGGAAGCTGCAGCAAGTGGGGGATACGCGGGTGAAGGCACAAGACGTCTCCATGTACTATTTTTTGTGGTGTTTTTTTCTAAACCTACAAGTGTTCAAAATAATAACTTAAAATGTTTCAGTATTTTAAACTAAGAACATGACATATTCATTTATCAGCTGGACATAACGAAACAAAGAAGCGGCAAATTGTAAATAGGTTAGAGTGTGGGGATTTAGGAATGGCTGGAAGATATACGGAACAGCATGAGAGGTGGTCGGCACTCAGTGGGAAGATGGAACACGTGTGCTCAGAGTCCCAGAATGGGGGGAAAGAACGGGCAGAAGCAAATCTGGAAACACAATAGGTAAGAATTTCCCCAAAGTGGGGCACCTGGGGGACTCAGTCAGTTAAGTGTCTGACTCTTGATTTCGGCTCAGGTCACTATCTCAGAGTCACGACATGGAGCCCGTCATCAGGCGCCACACTTAGTGGGAGTCTGCTTGAGATTCCCTCTCCCTCTGCCCCTCCCCTTGCTTGCATGTGTGCACACACATGGCCTCTTTCAAATAAATAAATATATCTTAAAAAAAAAAAAAAAGGAACGTCCCCAAACTGAGGATTTCCCCAAAGAGATGACAAATCATAGATTCTGGAAATTCTGTGAAACCCAGTGAGAATCAGCACAAAGAAACAGTCAATTTGCCTCCAAGTAAAACTGCCTAGACACAAAGACAAAAAGCAAATGGTACAAGCAGCCAGAGGGAAAAAGCTACATTGCCTCACTAGGTGCCTAAAAGCCACTGTGACACTGACCACCCATGTTCCATGGGCTTATGTATTTCCTCTGCCAAAAGAAAAAACCATCCACCCTGAAACTCTAAACCCAGCAAAAATACCCTTCGAAAGCGAAGGCAAAGTAAAGACATTTTCAGAAAAACAAAAACAGAGACAACTTACCGAAGTGTGAAATTCTCACGATAGTTTTTCAGACAGAAAAAGAAATGATCCCAGATGAAAATAAGAAAATGCAGGAAAGAAAGATCAATGGAAAAAGAAATATGAGATTTATATAAGTAAATATCAGCTGTATAGAATAATGCCATCTCACAGGATTTAAATATATGTAGAATTAAAATGTATGACAATAACCACACAAACGGTGAGGGGAGGCATAATAATAAGATAAAGCTAGTAAGCTAAAATGAAGAAAGCAGAATAATATAAAACATATAAACATATAAAACAATAATATAAAACATTTGATAGTCTAAGACAAGAAACCCTAGAAAAACCATCATATGAGAGGCCGGCAAGATGGAAAATAAATAGTAAGATTGCAAATGCTCATTGAAATGTATCAAAATTTCCCTTAGGTAAATGGAGAAAAGCAAGAAAAATGTCATGTTGGATTTATAAACAAATGAAAAAACAACAACCACCCAGCAAAAAAGACTGGCTGCCCCCAAGAGAAATGAGTATGAGAAGAGACCTATAGGCTGGAAAGGAAACAATGTATCCCGGCAGCACTGACTACTAAAACTTCAAAGTATGTGAAATAAACCCCTCCAGACACAAAAGAAGCCCGTTGGCATGTCTACACCCACAGCTGAGATGATCCCTTGCCTCTGTCAAGAGCCGATCCGCACAGCTTTGGTTATTAGAAGATGGAAATTGATTTTGCATTCTCGCTTTCTTGGGATTGAATGGGGAACTAACTGTTTTTGTATTTTGTCTGTTTTCCCACTGGGATGTCACCTTTTTGCTTATTGAGATGTGAGCCTTCTTTTGAGATTTACTTTATATTATATACTCTGTTTCCTGCCAGCATTTTCCTTTTCTATTTTGTTTATGAGTTTTGTGGGGGCTTTTAAGAGATTTTATTTATTTATTTGACACAGAGAGACGGGGAGAGCACAAGCAGGGGGAGCAGCAGGCAGAGGGAGTAGCAGACTCCCTGCCGAGCAAGGAGATGGATGCGGGACTCAACCCCAAGACCCTGAAATCACAGCCTGAGCCGAAGGCAAGCACATAACCGACGGAGCCACCCAGGTGTCCCATGAGTTTTGAAGTTTTTATGAAATGAAATCCTTCCATCATTTCCTGTGGTCTATCCCATTGCTTTCATTCTTCAAATCTGCAAGAGTGGGTTTTATTATATTTATTTTTCCCTATGCGGGGTAGTCTAATGAGTCTTAGAAGATTGACAGTATGGGTTCAAAAATATTTATCTCTTTGAAACAGAATCCTTTCAAACTCTCCTGAAATTGTACATGGGAATTTTAAAGGTAGTCTTTCTTTCTAACTAGAATGTCCTTCCTTCCAAATCTTTATTTATTTGACAAATACTTAGGGAGTGTCTGCTAAGTATCAGGCAGGTTCCAGGAGCTGGGATAACGAGCTGATTACACAGACGCTCCCTTCACATAGCTTGCAGGCTGGTGGGAAGAAGGAGGCAAGAAACAAACATACCAATAAATACGGCTGTTGTGCAACACAGAGAAATGAAGCAGGACAGGGTGACTAAGGTGACTCTGGCCCAGCCTTGATCACAACCAGATACCTGCCTTCGCCATCGGCTTCTCCCACAAGCTACATCTGAATCTTCTTGATCCTTCTATAGGGTAATTATTTGGTGATGCTCCTGCTTCCCCCAGCAACTCCATAAATCAGGATTCAATTTTGTATAAAATTATACCCTCCATGCCCTCCCCAGTCACAAGTTAGATTTTCAACGAGGTCTAGTTCATCTGAACGGACAGAAACAATTTTTTTGGAGGGAAAAAAGTTTGTCTCAAAGATTAAACCTTAAATTTAAAAAAAAAAAAAAACAGTGGACAGGAGTAATATAAAAGTCTATAAAAGTCTATAAGTAGACGTAAAAGTCTACCAAACCTAGATTGCTCTAACAGCTGGGAAACACTCGGATACCTAGAAGGGTTCGGGAGGGATATGAGCGTCTTGAAGTGCCATGTAGAGCTTCCATTTCTTTTTAAGGTTTATTTTTTATTTTAGAAGGGGCTGGGCAGAGGGAGAGAGAATTTGAAGCAGAACCCTCACCCACTGCAGAGCCCAACCCAGGCTCGATCCCAGGACCCTGAGACCATGACCTGAGCCAAAATCAAGAGTTGGACGCTCACGGGGCGCCTGAGTGGCTCAGATGGTTGAGCATCTGCCTTCAGCTCAGGTCACGATCTCAGGTTCCTGGGACCGAGCCCCGCATGGAGCCCCACATTGAGTCCCACAGCAGGCTCTTTGCTCGGCGGGAAGACTATTTCTCCCTCTCCTTTTCCCTCTCCTTCTGCTGTTGCCCAGCTTGTGCTCTCTCTCTCTCTATCTCAAATAAATAAATAAAATATTAAAAAAAAATAAAAAGAGTCAGGCAGGTAACCAACAGAACCACCTAGGCACCCTTACTGTGAAAAGCTTCTAACGCCTGGCTCCCTCCCCAAAAATTCTGGTGAAAGTTGCTGGGGCAGGGCCTGGGCATCAATGTATTTTCAACACCACTGGGTACGTCCGGCGTGTGGCCCAGCCAGGCTGAACACCATGAGGCTAGTGCCAAGGTCATTCTTAATTGTCGTGACATGCGACACATCAGCCCCAGGCATTGGACGTGGCCATGGCCACATGCAGGATGACAACTCCCATGTCCAGCTGCTGTAAGTTGTAACACCAAGTATCTCTTCCCTTCCTTGATAAATGCCTGTCTGTGCACAGATGGGCAGAAACCTGGTGCTGTTTGCTAGTTCGATATTTTACCGATAACGAGTCACTGCTTGTTTGCAACACATCCCTTGCCGACGACGTGTCTTAGTGTCCACTCAGAATCCTGATCTAGGCGGCAAGGCCTTCTGGGTTTTATTTTTAATTTGGTGCATGGGTCCATCCTTCACTCCTCAGGACAGAGCATCCTACCATGGCACGGGGAGGTGGGGGGTTGGGCAGTGTGTCAAGGGGCGATCACAGGATGTCACTTTTGACAGGAGCAGAAACAAGACCTCTTGGCTTATTAGGATGCTCTGGGCTGAGCATCCGCTTCCGTCTTTCTGGGATTAGGTGGGTGGAGGGAGAAATGAATGGAGTGTTGCTCCAGCCTCCCTCAAGGAGGAGCCGGCTGGCCACACAAGTACACGCAGACTGGGACAAGCACTCAGGGCCCTGCCTAGGCCCAGGCGGGGCTTGGAGACTCCCGGGGGGCCATACCCGACATGCCTGGTTGACTTACAAAGAAAGGGATCAGGCCCTCCGCCTTGTCTCTCTCCAGGACCTCCTGCAGGGCGGAAGCCCGCATGGCAAACTTGCCATCTGAAGGGATCACTTTTAGTTTCACGCCTCCAATTAATCCGGCTCTTTCCACCGACGAGTGCGCCTGGAAAGAAGGCAGCAGAGTTAGAGTCTTGCATGCACGTGCGTGCCGTGCATGGGGCCGTGAACCCCCCGCTCTGCAGAGAGCTCCCTGTGCGACAGGCCCCCACCACTCCCCTGCACCTCATTCCTGCTGTGGTCTTGGGTCCTGTGGAATCTCGCTTTTCAGATTAGTGAGCAAACAGCGAGAGCTTGCAAAGCCCACCCTGAAATAGAGTACGCAAACCCGGTTCCTATCTGGGGGGCTCCGCTCACCATGAGGCCTGGGGTTGCTTCGGGGCCACACTCAGAAAGGAAGCCAACGACAGGGCACCATTGTGGGATGGTGGATCCACTGTGTCTCGAGGATTCCAGGAAGGCCAGTTCTTACCCTCTTACGAGGGCGCCCCTCTCTGCCTTGGGGCTCCTACCACCGCTGTCTCCTACCTAGCTCTGTCCTGGGGTCTGGATCTCGTTGTGGCTCCCAATGGCCAACAGGAGGCTCAGGATCCCAAGCCCTCTGGGCGCTCGCCCGTGACCCTGGCGTGTTAACCCCCCCGTGGACCTGCATGACCTCCTGTCCACACTGACAGAACACCAAACACCCACGTCAAACACAGCTGCTGTGGAAATGTCGGGAAGGTCGCATGGTTTTGTTTGGATCAGATTGGACACAAAATAAAGATTCTGATCATAGAGGCTCAATGGGGTTTTGGGCCAACATGCTCGACTGACCCCTCACCTGATCCGATGAGTAGGCCACTAGCTTCTCCATGATGGCGCCCTGCGTCAGCCCTGGGGAGGTGGCCTGGAGGCGGCGTACCACCTTGGTCCGAGCGGCCAGCAAGGCCATCAGCGTGGCCTCGCTGGCGCTTCCCTGGATTGAAGAAAATGTGGAAATGAGCTTTGAGGGGCAGCGAAGGAATCAATATCAGAACTGTGGGGAGTCATTAGCGTCCCTCTTTTTCTTTTCTTTTTTTTTTTTTTTAAAGATTTTTATTTATTTATTTGAAAAAGAATGAGAAAGAGAAAGAGAGGGCCATGGGGTGGGGAGCATCAGAGGGAGAAGCAGACACCCCACTGAGTAGGGAGTCTGATGTGGGACTCGATCCCAGGACCCAGGGATCCTGAACTGAGTCGAAGACAGGCGCTTAACCAACTGAGCCACCCAGGCATCCCTAGTGTCCCTCTTTTTCTTAAAAGATGAATGTGAAGCCGCAAAACTGATTCCCCTTCACATAGGAAAAAATCGGAACCCCTGGGACTGCCATTTAGTGTTAGGATTCCTTCTAAGAGAATCGCTCTAAAAAGAGAGAGGGAGCACAAGCAGGGGAGCAGCAGGAAGAGGGAGAGGGAGAAGCAGGCTCCCCGCTGAGCAGGGAGCAGGACGTGGGGCTTGATCCCAGGACCCTGGCATCATGACCTGAGCCATAGGCAGAGGCCTTTGGCATTGCTTTGTCTGTTTTGCATAACCCCTCAGCCAGCACCTCTGGGCACTTAGCTTGGAGCACGTGCTGCCCTTCCAAGCAGGGGGCAGGGGTCCCCACATGTACAGCCTTGTCCCCCTTTCCCACGGCTCACAATCGCCACATCTTTAGTAAATCCTAGGAGAAATCCAGGAGCTAAACAGTTTAACATTAGAAAGGAAAAAAAAGAAAGAGAATGTAGATTTTTGTCGAGTATGAGAGATTTGTAAGCTTTCAAGGTTCTGCAGAGAAATATACAAAGGCACCTGGCATGCCGTTTCCCAGGGAGTCCTCCCAGTGTGGCCTGGAGGAGGAGAGCAGGACCAGCATCGCTGCCCAGCTCTGTGCTTATCACTACTTGGACAGAAACATCTGCATTTGTTTGTAAAATGACGTGCATTTGCCGGGAGACTCAGAAGCTCGCAGTCAGCAGACTCACACAACTAATGTCAACACCTTAACTCTAGCAAAGCACTAGGGAGTGCTACAGTCTTCAGGGCACTTGGGGGCTCAGTTGCTGCATGTCTGCCTTTGGCTCAGGTCATGATCCCAGGGTCCTGGGATCGAGCCCCACATCAGGCTCCTTGCTCGGCCGGAAGCCTGCTTCTCCCTCTCCCACTCCCCCTGCTTGTTCCCTCTCTTGATGTCTATCTCTGTCAAATAAATAAATTTTTTTAATAAATAAAATTTTTAAAAACAATGACAACAACAACAAAAAAGAATGCTACAACCTTCGACAACCTGGGAGTGGGTAAAAGAGGACTTGGCTTCTGCACCCGCCATGCCTTCCCATGTCATTTGCACAATAACTGTCTTTAAATTCTGTCATCATCAGGTAGGAAATGGATGCCCGGCAAAAAGGGAACTAACCTGGTCCAAGTGAGCAACTAGCAAGTGGCAGGGGTAGAAGTGAGCCCAAGCTGCCCTTCCAGGAGGGGGGGGGGGTCCCCACATGTATAGCCTTGTCCCCCTTTCCCACTGGTGATGACCACCATCTTAAGTAAATCCTAGAAGAAACCCAGGAACTGAACAGTATTAACATTAGAAAGGAAGAAATAAAAGAAGGTAGATTTTTGCCATGTATGAGAGATTTGTAAGATTTTAGGGTTTTTGCAGAGAAATATACAAGAAAATCATTAGGTCACCCCCTCCCCCATTAAGGTTTTCTCTTCCTTTCCCTTCATTGATCCTGATTTCCTCTTCCATTTTATCATTTCGATGCTTTCACTCATTCTTTTAAGTCAACGCATATCCTTCGGGAGACGGGTGAAGTGTGAACATATTTAGGTTTACTCAGAGTTTTGAAGCTCAAACGCATGGGCTCGAGTCCACAGGATATCCTCTCTTGATCTGGCCTGTGAGGTGGGTTTTGCATTTCTTCAGGCCATCTTTGTAGAAGTGGTGTTAGAAGAAAAGTTTCCAGACGTGGTTAAAGAAACAGGGCTGGCAAGGCTAGGTGGGCCTCACAGGGAATCCGAGCTCCCTGAGGGCAGGCACTGGGCCTCCCACTCCAGGGGCCTGGGCTTCCTCCTGAGCCCGGCAATGTGTGCGTCCTGGACCCACTGGCTCACTCCTTCTCATCGGAAGTGAACCATGAGAAGCTTCCTGAAAGACGCAGCTTCTCCGTGCTGTGCTGAATTATCTATCTGCCTTGTTCTGCCCCCAACACCCACGCGGGACTGCAGCCCCCCCCACCTTCCACCCTCTGCCTGAGGCCTTGACCCCCAAAGGTCTGCTCTCCCCTGATACACTTGCTAATGAAAGGCTTTGGATGGCCATGCTGATTCGCTCTGGGGTTTGCCTCTGGGCTCTGTCCGGGTGCTGAAACATAACCCCCCCCCCCCCCCCCCCCACCCTTCACGCAGCCAAAAGTGATTGAACACATACAATGGCCCAAGGAAGGAATGAAATTCTCATCGGAGTCTCTAGAGCTCAGAGGCTCCCCAGCAGCCCACAGGCTCAGCCCTAGAACAGGAATCAGGCAGATTTCCTGTCTCCAGCCCTAGAACAGGAATCAGGCAGATTTTCGGTCCTTTGTGGGAAGGCCAGCTTTGCCAGGGATGGGGGAGTAGGGCGTCTGTTCCAGAGTGAGCCTGCATAATGACATCTTAGCTTTCACTGCAGCAGACAAAGGTTGCCACGCAAGCAGGAGGAAATGCTGGTGACAAGTGACTCAGGGGCCAGAACCGCCCTTTCCGCCTCTGAGTGTTTTCAAGTGTCACCCCACACGAGGCGAGCAATTGGCTTTTCTTCCACAAGAGCTTTCAAACCCAATTAAGAGACCGTTTTCCGGGCAGGTTCGTCCAGCTCAGAGGATGATTTGCCATTTGACTCTGTCGCCTGTCACTGTGCTGACGTCTAGAAGCTATGACAACAGCCCGGAGGGGCACGGCGTCCCCCACAGCTCCGGCCCCATGGCTGTCACCAAGCTGTGCTGTCTGGGGCCTGACAGACTGCAGACAATCAGCCTGGTCAGCTGGGAAGGTGGGCTTCCGGCTGCAAACAGGGATGGTCGCCTGTGTTCTTCAGCAAAACTGGGGGAATTGGGATTTGACGCCAGGGGCCGAAAGATGCCAGGATGATCCCAAACGATGCTGGGGTTGCCGGTATCTCTGCAAAATGACATTGTCTTTAAAGTAAAGAAAATTGCAAGATAGAACCTCTGGATACTCGAACCCAAGCAAGGAGTCAGGGCTGAGCTGGTGGAATTTGTGGTCACCTGCCTCTAGTTAGCTCATGCTCTGGGCACGATATGCCCCCTTTCTTGGCTCTATGTCCTTCAGCTAGGAGAAAACTTCTTGATAATGCAGCCAACCCTCATAAGTATTTGCAGGTTGAATGAGGGTCGCATAAAGCAGCAGGAATAAGCCTAGCCCAGAGAAGGCATTCAGTAAAAAGTCACTGTCGGTATAAAGGGCACACCTGAGATTACGGGGTATTTGTAAGATTTTTGAGAAGCATCAAATTAGAAGAATCATCCCAGACTTGCAAGTGGAGAACCTTCCACATCTGTGGTCAGAGGGAGACGTGACCGTGAGAGAGGGGCCGGATATATAGAATGCTGTGGGCTTTGGAGATGGAGGAGGGGCCATGGTCCAGCACTGTGGGAAGCTTCCAGAAACTGGAAAAGATAAGGAACTATTCTCGCCTGGAGCCCCCGGGTGTCAGACACCTGGCCTACAATGTTGTAAAAGGATAGTTTTGTGCTGTTTCTTTTTTAAAAATTCTATTTATTTGTTAGAGAGACAGAGGGAGAGCACAAGCAGGGGAGCAGCAGAGGGAGAAGCAGACTCCTCACTGAGCAGGGAGCACAAGGCAGGGCTCAATCCCAAGACCCTAAGATCATGACCTGAACTGAAGGCAGACGCTTAACTGACTGAGCCACCCAAGTGTCCCAGGTCTGTGCTGTTTTAAGCCACCAAAATTTGTGACAGCAACAACAGAAAACAGACACATGGAGGTCAGAAGCCCTGGTCTGGACCTGCTCCCTACTTGACTTTGGCCGCACCAGGCAGGTGATCGCACACAAAGGCACCCGGGCTTCAGAGTTTTCATTGGCCGGTGGGCAGAGTTACAGCTGCCTTAACGGATTCTCCAAACCTTTAAACTCAACGGTGCTCACCCGATTTCATTATCATATACTTGATCCCAGAAAAATGATGCCAAGCCAGATAGTGGGTCCACCAGAGCCCATCGTCCATGCTGGGAAGTGAAAAGAGCACAAAGCCCACGTCTCCTTGGTGGCATTTGTCCTGAGCCTCCCAGGGGGAAAGACGTGCACCGTCCCTGGTGCCTGACTTGTCCCTGACACGCCCTGGGACGTCGTCGCTGTCACCAGCACACGTCCAGTGAAGAGAATGGATGACATGGGGTGTAGAGAAGGTGGCCACGTCAGATGACCCTGGTTCTCATTGATACAGCACTTTCAAGAAGCCTTGGAATGACTCGGTCACAGCTGCACTCACCGCTCAGAGGACGGTGATCGGGGGGTGGCGGTCACAGCCCTGTGGTCAGACAGATGTGGGCTGAGAGCCCAGCTCTAGAACTTACCAGCGGGAGGTGGCTGGTGGGCTGGGCCCTTCACAGCTCTGAGCCTCAGGCCCCTTGTCTGTCAAGTGAGGTGAAAAAGGCCCCTAATTCCTAGCCTTTTATAGAATTAAATGAATTAAAGCTTGGAAATCACTCAGGAGCGGCTTTGATCTGCGGAGCCGGGGGGCGGGAGAGGTGGACAGCCCCGGGACCCAACCCAGGTCCAGAGGCTTCCTAACTGCTTGTTTTCCAGAAGGTCCCATAGAAGCTCAAGTGGCTCTTTTTTCCCACTTGCCACCGCGGCCCTGGCGTGGAGCCGCCCGTGGGTCCCGGGAAGTTGGGCACCCCTTCCCTGCTGCGTTACCTGGATCACTCCACCCCCTTCTCCCACTTGTCCAGCCAAAAATGCCTCTGGCAGCTTCAGCATCTTCCCCAGCCAGTCCATCATCACCGTCTCCAGCTCTGTGCACGCCGGACTTGCAGCCTAGCGGGGCAGGAGGACAGGGATCAGCCGCCTGTCAGCTTGTCATAAACAGGTACCCTCTGTCACTTAGAATCTCCGTGTCAGTTTCCCAAAAGGCCCCCGCCTGGGGGGGTTTAATGTGGTGGCATGGTCTCCCATCTGGGGGTCCCAGGGAGAGACTTCAACAGAGACTGCCCCCCACCAACTGGGCACAGCAGCAGGACTCCTCCCTCGGGCAGCTCTCAAAGCAATACGGGGGGCCCCTCTGGGCACATGCTGTGCAGAGAGCTTAGCACATGTGACATCCCTCTCCTCTCTCACCCTCAGAGAACTGAGGAACCCACAGTGACCAGATCCCAGATCTGCCCCAGAAGGGACAGTGACCTCCCTGTCCCCCACCCACAGACTTGGGTCCCAGGGACACCTTCGTCTCCCCCCTCTTCTCTGCCACACATCTCTAGACACTGGTGTCAAAACAACGGGCCAGGTCTTGCAGGATTTGGGGAGCAACAGGAGAGTTTACTCTTCCACTGAACCCCAGATTAAAATCTCCCAGTTCCAGATGCTGTTCAAATGTCTGAAATGAGCTGAAAGGACTTTCAGACAAGTGCTCTTTGACTAAGACTCGTGGGGGATGGCCAGGAAGGAAGGTTCAGGCCAGAATAACCCCTTTGGACTGGGCTGTTCTCCACCAGCACCACGTGCAACCCCATCTAGCCATCCGTGTATACACAGAAGGATCTAGAAAGACGCACTGGTGGATTCTCCTCCAGTCACAAGGGAGTGCAGTGAGGATGCATCTGGGAGGTGGGTTCCAGGTGGCCCGAGTCCCCTGGGAGCTCCCCAGGTCAGGCCACTGACCTCAGCTTTTATGAGCTGGAGATGTTCTGCCATCTTGGACACTCCTCTGTCATTGCACAGGGGAGACGGCAGGTTGGCCTTCGTCCCCCACCCAGGGGTGCACACCAGCTTGTGACGCGTGGCTGGGAAGTGAGGCAGAACGTTCTGCCTGCTAGTGTGCCCCAGGGGAGGGTCCTACCCCATCCCAGTCAAGGTCAGCTCTGGGCGTGGGAAGTGCACTCACGGTTAGGAACTCATGTCTTGGCCAGAGGAGCCAAGGGGCAGCCCACCCAGGCTCCAGAGGAATCAGAGTGTCCTCAGAAAGCACGTGTACCATGGGATAGATGCTGAGTCACAGGGACAGGAGGGACAGGATGGCTCTGGGCTAGCAGGGCTAATGAAATCTGCCATAGTAGCTTATGAAAGAAAGTGTCCTTCAGAAGGGGTGTTCATCAGAGACACAGGGAGGTGACCAAGGCCACCCGGTCCATGCTCATGCTGCTTTGGGTACCTGGCAGAGAGCAATTCAGAGACCCACAGCAGGGAGCCAGGGATGACCCTCCCCCAACCCTTCCTGGGCAGCTGACTTGGTCCCCCAGGAAGTCTGGTCTGAAGAGCCAGCAAGTCAGGTGGGGGTGGGGGGCAAGGAGATGCTAACATGTCCTTCCCCTGCCGTGGGTCCTGGGTCAGCACGAGTCAGCACCCACGAGTACGCTCAGCTCCGAGGCACCAGGCACTCTGGTGGCACTCTGGACGCAAGAGGCCCTGGGATCCCTGATGCTGTCGGCCGGCCACTTTGCTTCTGAGTGCTCTGCATTTAGGGAGGAGGGAATCCTTCCTGCAGCACCGGACCTGGAAGCAGGGAGCCGGAAGGAGGAGCCGAGCCCGCCCGCTCCTCTGACATTTTATCTCCAGATAAGGTGGTGCTGGGACTGCTGGCATGGGGAGCGGGAGCTGGCCCCATTTCCAGAGCCACCTGCCCCGCATGGCTCCACACGCTGATGGGCAGGGGCCTCTCCAGGTTGCCAACAGATGGAATGAGCCCTGGGCAGCTGCAGGGTATACACAGATCCTCTGGAATGCTTGGCAGGAATGCAGATTCCCAGGCATGGGCTGCAGAACTTCCAAGGCCTTGGTTGTGATTTCAATTCATACCAAGTACCTCAAAAAAAAGTGCTGCATGCAGAATTGGGCTTTCTTTTCCTAGAAAGGAGACTTTATCTCGTTCTATTTCCCTGAATTCCAAATTCCCTCACGAGACACTCTCTCCAAGGCTGAGACCCTCTCCGTCCCCGCAGGTGCCACAGCTACCTGCTCAGGTCCTATGGGCCCAGGAGCCCTGTCCCCACGGCAGCATGTCCCACCCTTGCCAGAATCCCCCAGGATCCCCCCTGCCGAGCTCACCCAGGAGAAGCCGATGCAGCCGATGGCCCCACACAGTATGTCGGCAAGCAGGGCTGGGTACGAGTTGGCTGTGGGGAAGTAGGCGAAGAAGTAGGGGCTGTGCCAGTGGGTCACCTGTGTGCAGACATCAAGGTATGAGGGAGCCCCGCCCTGCGTGAGGAGGACCCGGGGCCCTCCGTTGGCCCTCATGGCAGGTGAGGTCTCCCAGAAGCTGCCCTGTATTTTAAGTTCTGGTTAGGTGCCCCCATCAGAGAATGAACAGAAACGGAAACCCCATCTCTCCAGGTAGAAGCCTGGCTTTCCTAAAACTGCTCTAAAAAAGTAAAATCCGTATTAGAGAAAAAACCAAGCCTGATTTCACAGACTGTTCAGCTGGTTTTCCTGCCATGGACTCACTCTCCTATGCAAGGCATCCCCTCGAGCAACTGCAACTCCGTCATCCCCCATATCCCTCCTCTCCTCTGTCTCCAGCCTGGGTGGGGGTCCCAGGCTGTGGCAGCAGTGGGGCCACACCGGGGTGTTGGGGGGAGTGAGGGGCCAGGAGCCCAGCCAGCCCACTGGGGGTGGGAGGATCTAGGACTGGGAACGCGGGACTGGCTAGGAATATCTCAGAGTCTGGGAGGAAGATGGAGGAGGGGAGAAAGTGGGGAGAGGAGGGGCAGTGCCTGCTTGTTTTATTTGTTCTTGCTGTTGACCAGCCTGTCAGGTGGGGAACAGAATAAATAAAGCCTTTAAGACACCTTCCACCCCGAGAGGTGGAGGGGTTCTGCCAACGCTCCTCGTTTTCTTAGTCTGGAGAAAAATGCAAATAATTCTTCTTTCATAAACTAGTTACTGATTGTCTTTTGGACCCCATGTGGCCCAAAAGACCACTCTGGTTGTGAAGGCAACTCACTGGGAGCTCTCCGAGAACTGAGAGTAGTCCTGGGGACTTAAGACAAGTCCTGCTGCCACCACAGTCACCCGCACCCCAGGCTGAGGTCAGGGACACTCCTCGGGAGGACCAGGCACTAGCATGGATCCTCCCGAAGCACAGAGTGGGTGGAGGGATGGACACGTATCGCAGAAAACTGGGGAGGACCAGGGCATTCAGCCTGGGGTGGGTTCAGGTATGGCCAACAACTTGTGGGGACTAAGAAGGAGGGAAGAATGGTCTGGAGACAGCTAGAAGCTCAGCACAGTCCCAGCGTGGGCAGCTCAGGCAAGAGAGGCTGCCAGTGGACCTGAGGGGGCATAGGAAATGCCAGGCGCAGTGACCAGGGCTGGTGAGATACTTTCAGGGGCCCAGAAAATATTTTAATTTCTTTGAAGAATCAGGAGAAAGAAGTAAACATTCAGGTCCAGGGGACAAAATGAATCTAATGCTAATGTTTTCATGTTCATGACAATGCCTTCACAAATTACAAATTCCCGTATTTCTACGGGAAGGAAGGAAGTGGTCCCTTCACCCTGTCCCTTCCCTGCTTGCCCTGACACCTGGCAAAGGACAACTGGGGATCTGTGCCTTTGCTTTCACTCTCAACTGAAGCTCACACCACGCTCCAGATGGATACTCCTACGTTCACTCCTCATACCTGCAGACAGGAGCCCTGAGTGGTCACCTACTGTCCCCGCAACCCACACAGGGACCCAGGGACTCAGGACAGTGCATGTACCAGTGCAGCTGGGACACTGCTGAATGCCCCCTTCTCACTCCTCCAGAAATCTCCAAATTCCATTGTCTCCCACATTCCCCGTCATGGAACATGCTTGTGCCCCCAAATTTCTGTGTTGAAGCCCTAACTCACACTGTAATGACATTAGGAGTGGGACCTTTGGGGGCCCTGGCAAGGAGGAGAGGGATGCCCAGAAGTGGCTGTCGGCAAGCCAGGCTGAGAATCCTCACAGGAACCAAATCCGCAGGCACATTGATCTCGCATTCCCAATCTCAGGATTATGAGAAGCAAATAAATGTCTGTGGTCCAAGCCACCCAGCCTGGAGTGTTTTGCCACACCCCCTGCCTGACATTTAACCATATCTCCCCTGGAGGGGCTTAGTGCCTTAGTGCGGGCGACTCAGAGTGTTTGCACAACCTCAAAGGCGAGAACAGGAATCCCGTGCTTCGCTCCAAGCACAAATGTCAAGGGAAACCCCTGGGAGGTGGAAAGTGAGCAGCTGGTCTGAAAGAGGCACTCGGGTCAGGAGGAGCAGCCCTGCCCCAGGTCAGTGGCCCTGTGACTCAGTGGCTTCAGATAAAGAGGTCTGCCTCCATGGACAGAATTTGCACAGAAGCAGGTGCACGCCCCGCCCCCTCCCATTCTCAAGTAAAATAAATAATGTCTTCCAGGCATGCAATTTGCCTTGCTGAACACAAGAATGTTAGGAAGGTGCTTGCTCTATTTTGAGCAAGGAACTTACTTGAAACAAGCCATCAGGGCTGGAAACGAAGTTCCTATGAGGGCTCACGCACGTACCCAGGGCTCAGAGCAGGGCCCGACCTGGGAATCTATGGGGAAAAGCATACTCACTGCCCTGGACGCCCGCACAATCCGGGGCACAGTCCTAGCTCCATCGCTTACTAGCTGTGTGACCTCAGGCTGATCACCTAGCCTCTCTGGGCTTCCGCTGGCTCACCAGCAAGGTGGCTGTGAGGACAGGTAGCATGACACGTGACGTGCCTGATGCCCAGTAGGTGCCACCTTAATGCTAGCCCTTCCGTTTCGCAGCCTGGGGTCCAGACTTACCCCTGGCATGATTATCTTCTCGACATCTTTGAGGATATCCTCAAACATGTCGGGCTCCTCAGGGGCAGAGGTGGGGATCAGGGGCCGCAAGTAGCCGGGCTTCACGTCGGGGTAGACCTGGCGCCCCTCGATGCCGTCCAAGTAGTCAGCCACGAAATCCACCATCTCCTTCCCTCTCCTTCGGAATTCACCTGAGTTCATGGTGGTCGGTCTTTTGCAGAGGCAGAACCTTCACAGCGAGAGAAAATAAATCGGTTAGCAACTATGACGATCTTCCAACTGGACCGGGGCAGTTCCCAGAGAGCTGACTGCTCAGACAGCCTGATCGGTGATGGAAACACCCAGAACCCAGGTGGGAGCACTTCCCTCCAAGTCTGGATGGGTGGAAACACCACTGGTTTTGGACACACAACCAAATGCTCATCCTACCATTGGCCGGCTATGCTCGTCTTATCATCTGCACCAGTGAACGGGGCTCGAAGCACTCACCTCTCGTCCTGGTCCATTCCAACCCCCATGACAAGCACCAACCAAGTCCCACCCTGTTCCCCCATAGCCATCAGACAGACAGGTAAGTGTAACCCTCTGAGCCTCTGTGCCCACGTGAGAGTTGAAGGTGACAAAGCCGATTCCTCAGGAAGGTGGGGAGGTGAACTCACACGGTGCGTGTCAGGCACTCAAGCCAGAGCCCTGGGTACGTAACCTCCCGTCAGCTTGTGTCTGCTTCCTTTTGATCCCATCCCACCTGGGACCACATTCCTGCATGCAACCTGCTTCCCAGACCCAGCCTTTCCCTTTCTCATGGCATCAGGAAGACACAGGTGGTGCCCTGAATACACGGGGCAGTTAGGTTCCATAAAGTCTCCATGGACACCACACTGCCCCCAGGGGAAAGGCAGGGTGAGGATCCTGAATCTCTGGTCACAAATAGGTCAACCAATCAGTACATAATATTGTTGTATTTTTTAAAGATGCTTTATTTGATATTCATTGATTAAGACTGGACTCATGGCCAATTGCACTCTAACTCATGCCAGGGAGCTTCCCTAACACATGTGTTTTCTCCCTAAAGCACAAAATGCAATGTACATGCAGGACCCCTACAGTGAGCTTCAGATTTTATTTATTTATATAGAGCAGGAGGAAGGGCAGAGGGAGAGGAAGAGGGAGGATCTCAAGCAGACTCCCTGCTGTGCGCAGAGCCTGATGCAGGGGTTAGATCCCAGGACCCTGAGATCATGACCTGAGCCAAAATCAAGAGTCAGATGCTTAAGGGACTGAGTCACCCAGGCGCCCCTCTGTGAGCCATTTTAAACAGTGAAACTACCAAGACTAACCCAACCATGTGAACATTGTGACACTACATAGAGTACTTGCTGACATATGAAGATGGGCTATTGTCTTGCTCCACCTCTGACAGAAGCACAATGAGGGCTAAAATGTGTCATCGAGTTATACTGTGCATGTTGTGAAATGTCAGGAAAGCACCCTGAGTATGGATTTCGGGATTACAATTTTAGCACGTAGGTAAATTTGCAGGAAGTAGATCTGTGAATAATAAGAACTGGCAGTATTTTCAAAACAGGGAACTGGGACAACACGAAGAAAAGTATTCACCCGGAATCCCACCACTCAGAATTCTGATGCATGTCCTTACAGAATGCTTCCTGCATTTCTAAGGGACCACTGGGTGCTGAGCAAGGGGTGCCTTTTTAAATTCCTCCCACAGTTCAAAGCATCATGTTCTACCAATTCCCATTGTCCATGCTGGGTTTCTATGGATTTTTCTTGACTTTATTTATGAGATAAAAGTTGTTAAAGAGAAATAATTCACCAGACACTTATTATGCACAAGAAGATTTTATTCAAGACCACTGCCATGGAGAGGGGACTGAATTTAGCTCCCAGTGCAACAGGGGAAGGTGGTGGATTCATAGCCAACAGGTAGGGTAAGGAGCAGATGAACATGACTCAGAGTAACTTGGTTCAGGGGCCAGGGTGGGGAAAGAAGACCTGGATTGGATATCAAGGGTAGAGCTTTCCTTGAAGAGCTGGCTGTTGGGATTCTTTGCTAAACCTGGGCTCAGCATGCTGAAGTAAGCATGAATGAAGATGGCTCATGGAAGCAGGACTGAGTTTGCTCAAGGAGGGCTTCTTGGATGAGGTGAGCCAGACTGAGGATGCCTTTCCATGCCTCGGTGTTCTCTCCAGTCTCCAAGATGCTTTCCTCAGAGCACTCCCTGGTACATGAGTTAGACTTTCCTAGGTTGCTTCAAGATCAGCTGTTAGATCAAACCCTTATTTCCGTGTTATTGTTTGGGGATACATTTTGCATCTAGTGAATGAATGAGTCACAGCAACTGGGACATAAAGTATGGTTCTAAATTGTAGCAACAGTGAACACTAAAAACGTATGATCACCTGGAGTTCCCGTTTGTGTTTATAAGCTCGGGGCCAAGGAGAGCACGGCTTCTCGTCTGGGATATCACAGCCAGACTTTCCAAAGGCTCTTAGAGCCACAAAGCTTTATCGGCATAGCCCCTGGTATATAATTCCCTGGGTCTGCAGGCTTCGAAGCTGATTTTTCATTCAGAGTGACTGATTATTTCCAATTTTGCACAGAGAGTAAAACTTGCTTTTTAAAAACCCCAAAATATACTCTGGTTTCTCTTCAGATCGCATAAATCTTTCACCTTCTTTAAAAACCCCAAAATATTTGAAGTTGACATGATTCCAATTCAACTAGAACTGCATACATTTGCAGGTGTTTTTGCTAGCTAGCTTGCTTTTCACGAAGCAATTTTGCATGTGCGTCCCACATTAATAAATACTTTTCCAGCCTGTGGTTTCTCATTCTTGCTTGTATTTCACAGTTTACGTGTGCTATAGTAACAATACCCTTCAATTATTGAACATTTGGGTCAGTCCCAGCAGCCTTCGGAGAAAGTGCTGGGGGAGCCCAGTGGCCAACATGTCAGGATTGAAAGCCAAAAGCCTCTGACTCAGATGTTTACTGGTTAGACCATCTGATGTCAATCGCCACCGTGGCAAACCTGATCTGAAAACAAAATTCGTGGTAGTAACAGCATGACCTCAAAGGACTTTTTGGTGACAATTGAATAGTACATGGCAACAGCTTTGAACAGTGACATTCAATAAATGTCAGTTATTGGCATTTCTGTAAAACACCGGCAGGTGCAATGTACATTTCTGCACACTTTGCTCTGCATTACAGTTTTCTGAAAGGAAGAGCGTCGACCTGTAGTTTCTACGGAACAGAGTCTTGTAGAAATACATATTTTTGGTGTTTCAAAGTTACATGGCGGGACACCTGGGGGGCTCAGTGGGTTAAGCCTCTGTCTTCAGCTCAGGTCCTGATCTCAGGGTCCTGGGATCGATTCCCACATCAGGCTCCCTGCTCAGTGGGGAGCCTGCTTCTCCCTCTCTCTCTGCCTGCCGCCCTCCCTGCTTGTGCTCTCAATCTCTCTGACAAATAAATAAATAAAATCTTTTAAAAAATCGTTTTAAATCCATCATCTAAAAACAAACAAGCAAACAAATAAATAAAGCTCCAAGGCCACATCTTTCCCCAGAATTCTAGCTCCCCAGAGTACTCTCCCAGTAGAAATGTATGACGGTGCTCGGTCTGCTGTGCTGTGGTCAACACTGGATTTGGGCGACTTCCTTTTAAGCTTTACCGGCCTCATAGGTATCTATGAATCTGTTTTACTTGGATTAATAGGTTTTAACAGGTTTCTCTATTTCTTTGCCATGTGGATTTCTTTTATGAATTGCTTGTCTTCTGCTTTTATTTAATTGTGAAAACTCTCCTGTAATAGCCGTTATGTCTGTGATGTATTTTGCAGACATCTTCTTCATTTTTTTTTTGTTTGACCTGATTTTGTTGACAATTTTCTTCAGCCCTATAAGAATTTCAGCTTTTATGTAATTGGATCTCATGATCTTTTCCTTTATGAGTTGTACCACAGGAACAACTGTAAAAATGCCCTGTGGAGGGGGCACTAGGGCGGTACAGTGGGTTGAGCGTCTGACTCTTGGTTTCGGCTCAAGCCGTGATCTTGGGGTTCTGAGATCAAGCCCTGTGCTGGGCTCCATGTTCAGCCCAGAGTCTGCTGTGTTTCTCTGTCCTCTGCTTCCTCCCACTGAGCTCTCCTTCTAAAAAAAATAAAATAAGTCTTTAAAAAACTGCCCTGTGGAGTAAATATTCGGATGAGCTCTATGTGCCCTGCTGTGCGTTAGCCCCTAGCAGATGACCCAGCATGAGAAAGTTGGGCACAATTAAGAAGGACACTTTGCTTCCCGGAGAATCGGCGGCTCCCTTCTACCAGGAACAACCTAGCATGGACGGCCACACGGGGTCCCCAGGGAAAGTGGACAGACACACCAACTCACCCTCCGAAGAAATATTCCCCAATTGTAAGATGACACCACCTCGTTATGTTCTCGTCACTCTGCCCTGGTTCTGCCATTAATTTGCCTATTGTTTCCCACAAAGACCTTTACAGAAGGCTCTTAGGGCCAAAGACCCAGAGAATCTTGTGCTCATTTTATAGCTGTTTGATATCTCATGCCCCCAAGCTGGGCAAATATTGGCTGGAATATGCGGACAGTGATAAAGTCTGTGATCGATGTCCCCCCACGCCCTCCCCAGAGCTTCTGAGGACATAATCTGATCACTGGGTGGGCCAGTCCCTGTGATCTACTTGCCACCGCTGTCATGCCTTGTGGGTGCCGGGACTCCAGCTCAACCCGGACCTCTGCACCCCAAGCAATCCACCTGCTTCTCAGTCAGTGCCGGGCAGGGCACAGCTCCAGCCCCACAATCTCAGACAGGTCCCTCCTGCCTGGCCCAGGACTTGTTTGGTTTTGTGATGTTGTCTGCTAACTGGGCCTTCGCCAAGCTGAGTCCTCAACTGTTGATTTTTGCTTCCCAGGGCCAAGCACTGACCCAGAGCCACACTGAGCGCCTCAAATGCTTGCTCACTGAGACAGACGGATGAGTGAATGTATGGTTGGATGAACAGAACATCAGATCCTGTAAACATTTTATTCTGAAATATGCTCTATTATACCTATTTCTCTACTTTTAAGACAGCCATAACTACAAGACCATCCTATATCTGCCACAGGAGAAGCCACAAGAGACAAGGGTCCTGGGGCAACCGGGTGGCTCAGTCAGTGAAGCCTCTGCCTTCAGCTCAGGTCATG